GCTCGGGAAAGCATAGCTCGTTATGCTAGCGCACCCGAGAATGGCAGCACAGACGAGCCATCATCTCCAGAGGACTCCAGCTCACCTTGTGATGCGGCGATATACATGATTTCATCAGCCGGGGGACCGAATGAGATCGCGGATTCGGAACCGCGCGGGTTGCAATGTGAAAGACGGGGTGTGGAATTTCGTCGGTTTAGTTCCAGACCCGTCTTATGTCACCCTGGCCACCAGCCGAAGTATTATCTCAAGTGGAGAAAAATAGATCGGGGTGTGGATGAGGGGACTCTCGCTCTATTGAGCTCATCTTGTCTCGACCGTTACATTGCGATGGTCATGTTCCTGCTGGGAGAATGTGACGCATCCACGAACGCTGTCTGAACGTGATCAAAGCCCAAACACGTCAAAACAGCGCTCGTGCCCATCAGCTGAATCTATCAGAATACCGCACTCAGAAATACACAGGCAGATCGTCTTTAGAAAGACGTGCCGCGTGCACGCTCTTTTTGTGAGAGAAAAGCGCGCAGCAGTGCTGAAGCGCCCAGGGAGAAACACACACGCTGTTCAGTTCAGCAGGCAGGAATGTGAAACTCGCTGGAACTCGCCATCACACCAACACCGACTGGAAGCTGCTCGTCTAGAAGATTCTCGAAGATAGTCAGGCTGCAGGAGTGAAGAGAACTTCTTGGCTCCGAAGCGAAAACATATCTGCATATTGCTGGCGTTCTCCTTTTATACCCACGCGGTGGGGCGGAGTTACGCCATGCAAATTCCGCAGACCCATGGCATTTCCTTGCCACTGGCTCGTTTCATTTCTTTCGAAGATGAGAGACTTCTAAGCGAACCCCATTCATCGTCATCCGATGTAACTCGGAGTGACAACGAAAGGGAACCAATTTTCCATAACGAGCATGTTTCCTAAGAATTTAGTATCTTCACATTTTTGCTATAAGCTCTTGGATAAACAAGGGAACACAATGAAATCCCACTGGCTACATTCAGACAAGAGTTTATAACATTCAAAAGTTTGGGGTTGGTAAGATTATTTTTTGTTTAAAATCATTCTGACCACAAACATTTAAATGGTATATAATAAAATAATAATTAATAAAAGATAAAAATGGGTAAAATAAATAACCAGTTAAATTAATAAACTAAAAAAATAAATTATGCTTGCTTTTAAAAGTTGTCCTTTTATAATTGTATTAATTACAATCTTAGCCAAGACACATGCCCCAATAATAGAATCAGGATATTTTTTTCCAGTAAAAAGTGTTAAAAAATGTGTGTTGAGTGTGTGTTTGTTGTTGTTGTGTGTGTGTGTGTTTTGGCGGACGGAACATCTGTCTGTGATGTGGCCAAATGCACAGAATTTTTTTTATCATTTTCTCTATGTCCCTTGCATAAAATGTTACCCCTAAACCAATGTTACTGATACTGATTTGTATTAATGTTTCCTCTCTCTCTTTCAGGTGTGAGCTGGTGTCTCAGGGTTCCCACTGAAGAAAGGAAGCAGGTAGCCATTGCAGATACAGGCAGATAGATTCGGCAGATGTGAATTAGATTATAATCTCAAGGGGACCGGAATTATGCATATACATTCTAGGCACATGCCTGTGCTCGCACGTTCATAGTTTTGTAAAGTTATTATTATTATTTCACTCTAATGGTAAAACAATGTAAGACAATTAATTTCTAATTTCTTAATAACGGCCGTCTGCCAGAAGCTAGTTATTTTAGTCAATAAAGTTTTAAATATGGATATTTTTCTTACACGAACACATCGCTTCACTTCAGAAGGGCTTTATTAACCCCCGCAGAGCCGTGTGGATAATTTTATGATGGATAGATACACTTTGATGGACTTCAAAACATAAACGGCCATTCACTGCCATTATAAAGCTTGGAAGAGCCAGGATATTTTTTAATATAACTCAGATTGTATTCGTCTGAAAGAAGATGACTTGAGGGTGAGTAAATCATGGGCAAATTTTCATTTTTGGGTGAACTATCCCTTTAATATAATGACACGTGCAAATGTCTGACCATATAAAGCAACAATGTCAACTTTGACAACACAGTGTTTAATTATTTAAAAAAAATACACACCCGGTTTCACATACAGACCAGGTTTAGATTAAGCCAGGATTAGGCCATAGTTCAGTTAGGACATTATTAGCTTGTATAAACTTTCAGTTGAAACAGCTCAAACATGCATTTAATCTGTGACTAGGCTTAAAGGTGAACTAAGTAACTTTTTTACCTTAACCGAACAGCTTTGGAGTCATTGTAATGTTTATATTACTGATTTCGTGTTGAATGGTGGTCGTCTCGCACCCCCCTGGTGCCTGTGAGCCGCAAAACCACCCTTGCAACTTTGGGCCGGCGAGCCGCAGCTCTTAAAGGGGCCATACCTAATTTCCACTCGTTACAGCATCCATCCTACTGAACAGGTACCGGTGTACAGGGGGAGGGGATCCGGCCGTGAGTGCGAGCCATCTCTGCGTGAGTGCTATTCACGACAGTACAAGTACTCCACAGCGACTCTAGGGGTCGCTGTTTGACAAAAACGGAATTCCTACTTAGTGCTGCTTTAAGCCTTGTCTGTGAAACCGGGGGACAATGGTCATTTTTTCGCGATTTTTCAAAGGGCATTTTTTTTACTTAGATGTATGCAATTATATCAAATTCTGACATTCAAGTTCAATTCAATTAGAGAACACAGTACAGGACTGTTACCAATCAATTGACTTTATGCACAGCTGCACCACTTCCTGAACTTAAGCCAGCTCCTTTATTTCCTGTCTTACATTATTGGACACACTGATTAATCCAGGTGTGTCTGATTATTGTTGCTATGACTACTGAGGTCAGGCACACCTGAATTAATCAGTGTGTCCAATAATGTAAGACAGGAAATAAAGGAGCTGGCTTAAGTTCAGGAAGTAGTACAGCTGTGCATAAAGTCAATTGAAATCATTATCAACAAAATCCATCTTTGCAGTGCAGAGGTGACAGAAGCAGCATCAGAAGTGGCATTAATATATTTAAAATTGCATAAATAATGCTACAAGATTGTTTTTTAATTCAATATTTAAATATGAAATGATTTCTAATTTTAACTTATTAATGTAAAGGTATTTTAAATATGAATGTAAAACCGCCAAAAAGTTGCGGCAAGTCACTGTTTTAATGAGTTCAACTGATTTGTTCAAACGGCTGATTTATTCAGGAACAAAGTAATTGACCGTCTTTATTGAATGGGTCATTGAATCATTAATTAAACTGATTCGTTCAAAACACAGATTCATTAAAAAATGAATCATGTATTGTGCCTATGTAGCCAATGTCACAATATGAGTTAAGTCCGGCCCTGCACACACTGCTAATCGTAGGCTACTGTAAAACATTCATTTCAGGATGCATAAAATAGAAATAATCACCTTTCTCTGACAAAACAAGGTCTGTTATGTATTGTTAAAAATGCTTTCAATCCTGCTGTTGAAATTAAAATATATATATATTCGAAAACTAATGATACATAATTCTAAAATCACTGTCATCCTGGTTATAAATGGCAAATCTATGACTCAATTAATTACCGAAACAAACAAAACAAAACAGAAGAGCATGTTAACAGTTCCCGACCGTCTTTTTCTCATTTAGTGCAAAAAAAAAAAAAAAAAAAAATTCTAACTAGTGTTATCAAAGAGCAATCTTAGAATCAAGAAGCACATCATGTGCTGATAGAGGTGATAAACTGCACACTCAAACCTACAAACTCCATTTTAAAGGAGTGTATACTGTACGTGTCTTTAGTATTTGATGTATTCCATGTTCCTTCACATCAAGCCAAGCATGACTGAGATAGGCCTGCTTGAATGACCAACAGTTCCATAGTTATTATATAACAGTTGGTCAGGATACAGCAGGGGGATCCCATTCACTTCATTCTGACCTGTCTGAGGTCATGTTCTGTGTTCTGTCAGGAAGCTTAACTTAATTATTGACAGACAAGGAAGGATATTTGTCAGAAAGGAGAATTAGAAAAGGAGTTAACCCAGAGTTACCATAGCTCAGATCAACCTAAAACAGCCATTTCAGTGAGTTCTTGGAAATGAGGGGTCACATTTTACATTGCTGTTTCCATGTTCCAATTGTAAGTTGCTATATGCAGTTAACTATTATAACATATTGTGCGTAACAACATAATGTTGCTCAAAACATGCAAAAACATGATTAAATGTCAAGCCGTATGTGGCTTGAGGTGTTGGACTAATTCCTGCAGGTGCATAAAAGGTTTGCACAGGGGGACCCCCAACTACCAAACACACATTTTGTCCAGACCTCTGCTCTATATAGGTACCAAAGCTTGAAGATCCATGAACTTGAGCCAGAATCGGATTCGTCAATATGTGCTTAGAATGTAGAATATGCATAACTTTGTCTGGGTGTTGTAAAATGCATAAATAGACACCAGGTTTCTTATATGGTGTGTTAGGGAGAGAAAGAGAGAGAAACCACACACTTCCAGTCAGTTGTTCTCAAGCTGTGTTTCCTGTCGCATGCTTTGCCACTCTAGCAGAGCTGCAGAAGTTGTGTTCCTTCTCTGCAAACTTTACTCACACAGATAAGCAGACTCAAGTGCATAGGCTATAGTTTATTTTAACAATACAATAAACAAACGGCATTGCATTTAAGGCTAACAACATTCATCAACCAAATGTTTAAAGATTTTACACAGTATATCAAACTATCTATTCCTTTTATACAGCTACATATTTCAACAAGGTTTTCAAAGTGTATTTTGTTAATCACAAAAGTTAGGCTACATCAGGCTAAAAGATCGATATAGACGCTAGCGAACAGAAGATGTAACCATGGCAACAGTTCCTTGAATCGACCCCATTGAAAGTCAATTAAATATTTCTCACACGGATATAGTGCGCTATGTGAGGCGGAGTCAAAGGTTCCGCTCGTTCTTGTGGGTGCTGTTCAGCTTTGAAACGCGGCTCCGCGCGTACGCGCATGCAGGACAGGTAGCGGCTGAGTACAGGGTGATTTGTGAGACGGTAAGGTGACAGTTCTTCTACGGGAGGTTTATCTTTTCTTCGTTGCCGAACAGTAAAACAGCGAGACAACGGTAAACTAATTTGGTTTGTCTCTAGATTCATACAAAATACTGAAAGTTGCCACTACCAGAAATAGATGCGTGAAGTTGTTTGACGCTTGCCTTGCAACACTGCGTGCGCGCCGACACGCTGAGATGCTCGTTTGAACTGTTCGCTTCTGCATTTATATTTGTTATATCAAAAACTGTTGACTTAAAGACGTGCTTAAATGCGTGAAATTTGTTTTGTAGACAAATGTGCCGTAAAATTAACATTAAATTAATGTTGGTCAGGATAGTGAAGGAAAAACTTGAAAGTGGTTGAGAGAAAGAGTATGCAATCTAGCTAAAATATAACCTAGAAAGCGTTGCTACTTTGAAGAAGCTAAAATATGTAAACTATAAAATATATATAATAATATAATTTCTTTTGCTCGCCTTTTCCACTTCAGTTTCCAATTTCCCCCTTTTTTTTAACAATTAAAAGTTATCTTAATATCAACTCAAAAATTACAAACAATGCTAATTGTTTCGCTTTGTTTTACTACTTAGTGTTAAGTGTTGAGTAAGTTTACCGGTATGCTGAGCCTCAGCAAAAGAGCACATAGGCTACAGTTACACAAAGAGATCATCTATCGAGGGAATGAGACTTAAGCTAAGTGTTTATTCATTAAACAACTTCCCCGTAACAGCAGTCAAATCAGCTTTCTTTAAATTGCTTTTTTGTTTTTTGAGGTCTGTATATCAAGGTTAAGAGATAAATGGGAGATAAAAATATGATAAAAAAAAGCCAAATGCAGTTTTCATTTGAATTCATATTTATTCATATTTTCACATTATTTTAGCCTGTTATCTTGATATTCCAGATTGAGGGACTATAACATGTAAAAGAGTGCAGATCTGTAGAGGGCGGATGAAGTGTGACAGGTTCAACAGCAGTTCTGACAACAGAATTATTTAATCAATTTAATAACAAATTATATTATCAGCAAAAACAAAAACTGAATGTCACAATTGAGTAACATTTGAATTTCACAATTTCATTGAACATCTTCATATTTGGTTCATCCCTCTTTTGCTTTAATGGCAGCAGAATAAACTAAATAAACGTATGATCATGTTCTCCTGCATGATTTGATATGATCCAAAGAGCATCTTTTTTGGAGAACATCTGACACATGATCAATGCCACAAATCTACTTATTTAAATAATGACCTAGGAATCTTAAATTTGTTTTAGTGTGGAATTTTAAACCCTGTATGAGAAAGTTTTGGTTTGAATTTTTGATAAACTTTGAAATATTAACCCACCTTAAAGTATCTTTATGCAAAGAGTGGATCTAATTTGCTCTAGTGTATTCTCTCTGTCTCATCTCTCTGATTTCTCATTCATAGCCAGATTAAGTGAGATTAATCCACAAAACCAAGAGAACAGATCTCCTGTTCTCTTAGTATCATTGAACTGAGAACAGACAGTGTTTCTGTAACAATTTGCAGTCAGGTTTCTATGGATGGCATACTTTGCACTCCATTGAATGTGAAATTGTTGCTTTTTGAACATTTGTCATCATTGGGCCCCCTCTGTCTCTGTCTGCGTTACGGCAGGAGCTCAGACTCAGTTTAGGCAAAGATAACTGAGCACCGTGGAACTGACAAAGCACATTAACATGACTGACAGATCAGCTCTTGCATCTAATCGCTGCTCATCTGAGAAATGTTTTTTCACAAGGGCAGAGGGGAGAAGAAGGGACAGACGACTCCAAATCCATGTCTCAGAGTGTGGCTCAGTGTAATCAGGAAGTGACAAATTGAAATAGATGACATCGAAAACTATGCCAGAGTAGGACTCTGCAAAGCAGTACAATAAAAACAGCATGTACAGTATACTGTAAGACCAAAAACATCACATGACATTTAATTGCTATCATTGTTATTGGGACAAAAAAAATATGAACAGAAGTTTTTTTTTTTTTTTTGGTCATCGATAGTCTAATCCAAGAGGCATGATTAGATGCACATGCATTTCTTTGAACGGATGCACAGTATTTTATGAAGAGAATATACATCAGCCCTAATATTATTGGTGCAATCGCAGGGATAAAACGTCATTTCAACTATGAGACAATATCATATCTGCTGCAGCTGCAGCTTTATTCATTAACAGTTATGTGAGGAAATAACCTCTGTTACATATTATGAGGAATCAAAATGTCCTTGATTTTATTTTAAAGGAGAAGAGCCTGATGCACTATGAGAATAATACTTAGCAAAATTGACTTCTACAGCATTGTGACGCCAGAGAGATTAACAGATCAACACATGCCTGTCCTTATTAACTCTTCTATGAAACCTTGGGTTGTTGATTATGCTCGTGAAATGGGTGTTTCTTAAAAGTGTAGAAGTAAAATGGACCATCTCTGAGTGGAAATTGGTTCTGAAAAATACAATTTTGTGCAATGACCTTGCACTAATTTATAAGACCTCTTGGGTGATAATAATAATAATAAAAAATGTATGATATGACACCTTGAAATATGAGATGAAAGGCACCCTTGTGTTCACAGAGGTCCAGTGTGTTTTGTAGCAAGGCCGTAAACCATTTCTTGGAACATTGAGGGTGGGACCAAAGTTGTGTTTTTTTTTGTTGTTGTGGGGGTGTAACTTGGTCTTTTAATTTTAAAGGAATTAAATAATTAAAGTATCAAAAGGGATTTAAGGAAATAAAGAAAAAAGGAAAAAAGAATGGTAAAAGAAGTTCTATGTATAATTGTAGTTGTATAATTAAAACTATTTACAAATAATATTTTATTATAAAATATGCACACATTCACATACACAGACAAGTATATGGTAACATATTTTGGCCATCTCATTGACATTAACGAGCGCTGTTAGACCACTGAGGAGGACTGGCCTAAAAATGTAACGTTTAAAACTTTTTGTCATCCTAACATCAAAAAGAGCGGTGTGTTGTATATACGTTGTATATCGCTGTCTATAGGCCTGATCACACCAAGGACAATAAGTATAACAATAACAATGAAGATATAAGTATTCTAAAAATAAAAGAATAGACACATTATAGAGTCACAACTATAATGATAATGGCACCAAGAAACGATATATGTATATATATAAGACACTTTCGTTTCCCTCTCACGTGTTTTCTCATGTACTGTCACCATCTCAAATGGAGGATGGGGAAGGACATGCATCATACTGATTAAATATAATTTAATCTGCATTTCCTCTTCAGCTGTTTGTGAATCTCCCCTTGATGCAAATGATCCTGATAACCAGCATCCCTTTCTTTTCTATTCACTCTTTCTCTTTCTATTCAGAGGAGAACAGAGAATGCCTTTAAACTTCTCAACCAATCTGGTCAAAAAAACAAAAAAACAACCAACTTGGTTAAAATAAAAACAATCTCTTAAAGATAAACTCTCATGCACCCATTGTAAATATGAAGGGGGCGATTTTCATAAAATGTTTATTTACAGTGTCCATGTTACACGTTGCATGTTACTATAGTAATAACTATAAATTATGCATAATTACATGCAACTAACCCTAAACCAAACACTAAACCCAATCTTATAGTAAGTACATAAGTAAGCTAAGCTAATTATTATTACTCAGTACGTAAATCATGTATAATTACGCTGTAACACGGACACCTTAAAATAAAGTGTAACCGAGTTTTTGATGTGTTTATAATGGACAGACTTAAAGGGTTAGTTTACCAAATAGAAGCTTTAAAAGCTTCAAAACATTATAAGTAATAATGACTTAAATGTTTGTTTCCTACTAAAAGTTATCTTACAAGTTTAGATGACTTGGATTATACAGTAGCACACGTGTGAATAGACTACGTGTATGTTTTGTGATGCCACAATTTACACCTGCATCTGTCTGTTCTTTAGGTGGAGCTGACTGTGATGGCCTCCTGATGCCAGTTAAACAAGTGTCTCAACACCCTCAGATCACAGACAGTGTATTATAGTAAGTCTTGAGCTCTTCATTCATAATTATGGGTTAATACAATAATTGACCTGCTTCGTTCATTTCTTTATCTTTTCCCCCCATTAAAACCTTTAGGACTGAGTGGTCAAATCTTAAGCTATGATAAGCATTGAGTAGCCTTTTTCTCACCAACTTGCTCCCCTTTAATAAAGATGCACTTTTGCATTGCATACAATTGTGACTAGCCAGCTAACCACAGCTGCACGCTTTTGCTTAGCAAGAACATCAGCAGGAGTTTGACCTCTCTGGTCTCTCACAAGCCTGAGGTTAACACATTTACTCTTCGTTTTCTGGTGCTTTCATCACCCTGGTTTGTCTAACCTGTAACCTTTCTCTATCTCTTTAATGGCAGCTTATAGACCCTCTCCTCCGTTCAAGTCAGTATTTTATCATGGAGGCCAGGGGAAAGTATGACTTCAATGGCACAGCAGAAGATGAGCTGAGCTTCAGGAAAGGAGACATTCTGAAGGTGAGTGATAGAGGACCCAAGCACACAAACTAAAAGCTCTTACTTTGGTTTCAGAGTTGTGAGGCCCTTGAGTCAGGGCTTTAAAACACCGCTCACTGCCAGCGTCATTCTATGCATTGACCGCCACATGAAAAACATTACAGATCCTAGTAAAAAAACGGAACGTGAACAGTGTAGACAGTGAATAAGACAAATCCAGCTATTGTTTTGATACATTGCAGAAAGAAAAAAATGGGCTCGCTGAACATGGATTCATAAAACTCTGGAATCTTCATGACTGCACAGAAAATGAGGCATTCAAGATTTCTTCAAAATGGTTGAGGTTTTAAACACAAATAGAGGTGTGAACCTATCAAGACACACATTGGATGAGTCATGTGAATTGTCAAATAATTGTTGGCATCAGCAGCCGATAGGGGATAAAGTTCAAACAATCTTTTAGTGCTGCTCTACCACTCCTGACTACAGCAGTTACTCTAGCTAGTGCCAATGCATTGGGCAAAGTTAATGTGAGTCATATGATGACTGTCCACTGTTAGTTAGTTTTTTTTGTTTTTGTTTTTTTAAATAAAGACAATTATGCATTGCATAAAATATAATAATATAAAAAATAAAATAAAAAACCTGTTAAAACTGCTTTGATAATCATGATGATTATCAAAAAGTCATAATTATGATATTAAAGTCAGAATTATGACATTAAAGGTTGATTTATTTTGTCATGACTTTTTGCCTCATATTTCAGCTTTTTTATGTCATAAATGACTTTTTATCTCATATTTCAGCTTTTTATTTCATAATTTAGCTTTTTATGTCATTATTATGTTTTTATCTCAAATTATCTCATAATTTTGATTTTTTAACTCATAGTTATGACTTGGAATGGCATATAAATAAAAATATCTATCTCATAACTAATATTTGCCAAAGCATGATTTTTTTATGTGACAGAAATTCATTTTGACAAATACTACTCTAAACAGATCCTAGGATCTCAAGACGACTGGTTCAAGGCAGAGCTACACGGTCATGAGGGCTTCGTACCAAAAAACTATGTTGAAAGGCAAACGCCGAGGTGAGCTCATGTGATATTAATCTTTTCAACAACATGCAAATAACCTGTGAGCATGTAGTAGTTAATAGTGAGACCTGAATAAGCACACGTGTATTTGGATTCCCTCTCCAGCTGGTTCAAAGAGACCGCCAGTCGTGGCTCGGCTGAGGAGATGCTAATATCCCAAGAGGTGGGTGCTTTTCTGATCCGTGGCAGCCAGAGTTCCCCTGGAGACTTCTCCATCTCAGTCAGGTAAAACTGGAATTTGTGGATTAATATTAGGATGTCAGATTTTAATTTTTGCATCAGCACATATCCGTTTTGTTTTGCTTGTGTGTTTACTTAAGTTCGCTGTAATCAGCATAACATTATACGAAAAGAAAAGAATGTTGAAAATGTTATCCTAGCACTAATATTTCATCTGACCTATGAAGGTCACCTGAGTGCTGTGAATCTGTAATCCCACAAATTGTAATGTCAGTATTCAAACCCCTGAAAGATCCTCATTGACTAGAGAGGCTCACACCTGAGCCATTTCAGGCCCTGAATCTGGCCTATGGAAACACTCCATCAATAATGCATCTATAACATCCATCTTATTACAGAGTTCAGACAGTCCATTTGTTTCTGCCATCCTCTCATAAATCGCCTATACAGCAGGTCCTAACTGAATGCACTGTGCAAGACTGAGAGAGAGAGAATGAGCAAGGGTTCCCTCTAGTGCAGAGAGCGGGTTGTGCAGCTTTTGTTAACCTTAGTTTAAAAAAAAATAAACGCTAATAGATAATTTAGTTGATCAGTCTGTCAAGTTTCGAAGACAGGCAGGAGTGTCAGGGGGGTCATTGGGGGGTGTTGAAGGGGTCGCGGGAATAATATTATTATTTGTGTTTTTGTTGTTGTTATTAACAATTGCTCAGACTTGCAGAAGAATGTTTTTTCCACCGTCTCTTCCTCTTCCACCTGCACCATCTCCTCCTCTAATGGGTCTACCCTTTTCGCCACCTTCTCTGGGCCAGCATCCTCTAACCTGGCCTTTTTTGGGGGCTTTCCTCTCAGGGCGAATGAGAGGATGCTTAATTGCTTTTTACCTGACATCTTTGAAAGACAGATGCAATGATTGCGTTAAATCTTACCCAGATACTATAGTGCTATTTTCTGATTGGCTATTGTGTAGCCCCATTTTTTTTTTTTTTGATCGGCTGATAAGTGGCAGGCTGGACTAAGAGAACTCCAGGGGAGACGCGCTTGATTCCTGCCGGCTCCATAGCGAGAGCTGCGCGGCCAGAGAAATTTGGGTGCTGCGGCATATTAAATATATTATAAATAGTTTTTCTGCTTGAGAAATACAATGTGTGGCGGGAGTGCGTGACAAAAGACCGAAATGAGTGACTGTCATGCTCAATGCGTGACACGAGAGCCCTGCAAGACACTGAAATAAGTGTGAACATTTAGGGTTCATTTTTCTCACATTCACTTATTACTTAATACTGTTTTAATTATTCTTATTTGTTTTGATTATTTTAATTTCTTCTTTGTAAAGCACTTTGAATTACCATTGTGTATGAAATGTGCTATATAAATAAACTTGCCTTGCCTTGCCTATTAATATCTCGCTTTGTTTTTTCCACTGCTCTACAGACACGAGTATGATGTACAGCATTTTAAAGTTATGAAGGATAAATCGGGCCAGTACTACCTGTGGACGGATAGGTTTACATCTCTAAACAAGCTTGTGGAGCATTACAAGATCACCTCCATATCCAAGCAGAGGGAGATCTTCCTAAGGGATGGAAGTGGAGATGAGCCAAGAGCACCTCCACCTGTAAATAAACTCTAGATTTAAATCAATAAATACAGTAGGTTTGCTGTTATTCTTCTAGGTCACTGTTTATACTGAATCCCATAACAGAACTCCAGTCAAACTTAATCATTAATCTCTCTTTTAATCTTCTTTGAACTAATCCATCTGCTGATTTCACTCTTGCTTTTCAAGAGATATCTGATGTAAGACCATCAAAAAGTGAAGCTTTGTGGGGCAGATTTTAATTTCTAAGTTTAGATATTATCAATGCACTATATGAGCAGATCCTGTCAAACGTGACTTAAATGTAAATGAATCTGAGAGCCTGTGTACACAGGAGATAAATAATGATCAATGATTGGTCCTTATTTTCAGTTAAAGAGTCAACCAGAAGTGCGGCCTCCCCCAGGTGGTGGTTATGGCGGTCCACAAACCTCATCACAACACCGCAACACAACAGATCAAACTCACAACCAGAAGGTACAAGCATTTCAATGGTCAAACCCCAGCTGTGCATGCATTTAAAACTGAAAAACCTTGATGAATTATTAAAAAGCTTCCATTCAAAATGGAAGTATACCTGCTCCAACTAGCCAACTGTGACCTACAGGAAACCTGGAAAACTGATTATTAAAAGCTTAAATAATAAATATTGTGTAAATAAAATATGTATTACATTTTAATTGTATATATATATATAATACAATTATATATAATTAATATATACAGTATATATAAAATATAAATTGTAAATAATTATGCATAATTGTTTTCCAAGAAAAAGGAACTGGGTAATAAATAAAGCTGTGCTCTTTTTTTAGAGTAAGAGAGGAAGTGTTGAGGAGAAAGCTAACACTGTGGGTCACCAAGGGAGGAACAGTCCAGCCCCTCGGCGAACCTCTGAAACTTTGCCTTCTCCGGTATGATACCAGAAATCTCACTTGCTCTCAAGGCATAAACACTGTCTTGTGTGTGAACTTTTTTTTTCTTTTTTTTTTAAAAGGCGTAATATTTTCAATGTTAAAATACTTTCCTCTCCCAGCTTAATATGCTGAGACAACCAGCCAATGGTGTGAGTTTGGGGGTAGGACTATCTTTTTGTCCGGCCAATAGAAAGTAGGGGGTGTTTGAGAAACTTGTTTGCAAACAGTTATTATTTTGGCAATTCTTTTTCGTGATGATAGTGGCACAGAAATGACACATTTCACCTTTAAATGGCTAGTTATATAAATATACAGAAGGATATTAGTACCTTTTATGGTACTACTGACACTTTATTGTGTGTGTGTGTGTGTGTGTGTGTGTGTGTGTGTCAGAGGTCAACCATACAGGTGAGAGCTGTCTATGACTTCACTGCAGAGGAAGATGACGAGTTGGGCTTCAATGCTGGTGACATCATTGAAGTACTGGACCGTTCAGATGCATCGTGGTGGAAAGGCCGATTGCGCGGCAGGACTGGACTTTTCCCTGTCAATTACACAGATCAGATCTGATATCTTCCGACTGCCTGGAGGTGTGGAATCACCATATACTAAATCCATCGTACTCTCGCCAAATGCCTGCCTATAATGTATGGACTGGTTGATTAATTTTAAATTCGTTTTATAAAGCTGGCTGCAGAACATTTGAAGAGAAGTGAGAAAAAGACATTAGCCTACTCATGAAGGACTTTGTTGCTTCTCTTTTTTTTATACATAACTATATGTTTGTTTGTTTGTTTTTTTCTTGTTTTTTTTTTTACAAATAAGGTACGAAGAAAGGACTATATCATTTCCCTTATGTCAAATTCTCCTAGTGACTAGACGGTTTCCCTTATACAGTATGAATTACTGAATTATACAGTACACACTGTAGCCCATACAATGACCGTTTTATCGCTTTCATGTCCAGTTCATGTTTTTATTTTAAGATTTTCAGTAGAACACACTAACACAAGAGAAGGTGTTACAGTACCAAGCAAAGCTTTCATGTTACTGTACCAATTTTTGTACTAAAAATCTTAATGTCGTTTGTCAAAATAGGCCTATGGCACAGGCAGAATAGGTATGATTATTGTTTTACTATGCAGGATGGAAAATACAGATGGCAAATATGATGATACCAGCCGTAGTTTGATGGATTTGAATAAACTTTACCTTTATGCTTTCAGATATAAGTTGTGATATTTTTTAAAAGGATAGTTCAATCCAAAAAAATAATCTGTCATCATTTAATCACCATTATTACCAAACCTGTTTGACTTTCTCGTTTCTGTTTTTCAATAAGTAAAGTTATACAGGTAGCCTAAATTATAACAAATAACTTTTTTGGGGGTATATTTTTATTAGTGGTAGTTGTAGGCTATTTATTATTCAATTTCTGGGCAGTTTTATAAATAAATAAAGAGAAAAGTTCTGCGTCAGTCAGAGAAACTACCGTGACAGTTTCATCTGTCTTTTATTGAATTTAAACAAGTGTCGTCATGTCAGTTCCCAATAACCTTCTTACAGTTCGGAGATGCTCCGCCCACAATTGGACAGAAATCCCGCCCACCCATTCTCTTTCATCTTGCTCTGAAATCACCTCAACCAACCACTCAAACAGGTAAAGGTGGGCTGAGTGTACTGCCTGGAGCCACACAGGTGAACCGTTGTTTCCGGGAGCACAGCTGCCATGGCTGAGTCTCAGCTAGTATGCATGGACGACGATCATGTTAACGTGAAGATACCGGAGTCCAAACCAGAGTTTTATTACAGCGAGGAGCAGCGGGCCGCGCTCGAGCAGCTCTTGAAGAATGGGGATGGTGCGTTTAAGATGCGTCTCAAAGAGGATAACGTTAAAGACTTTCTCTCCGCCAGGGAAATCAAATGGATGCGGGACACGTTCCAGGAATATGACAGTGACTCGGACACCTGCTGCTCACGGTCGCCCCATGATACCAGTGAAGACTCAGGTGTTCACTCTACCTACTGGCCGACCATGTCTGATATGGAGATCCCTCCGCTGGACATCGGTTGGCCTAGCAACGGCCATTACAAAGGGGTAACTCGGGTGTCGGTTTACACCCACCCACCCAAAACTAACAGTCCGCACATTAAAGAGGTGGTCCGCAGACTCATTCAAGAATCTACAAAGGTAGGCGACTATGTCCGTTTACTACTTGTTCCTAAAAAATAAACTTTTTAATAAATCTATTTTTGTTAGTTACTAGTAGGCTACTTTAAAAAAATATTAGTAGGCCTATGTATCCCAATACACTGTAAAAAAAAAAGTTGCTGCATTACATTTTTCAGTACAATCAACTTGGATGTTTTAAGTCATTTCAACTTAAATGACATTAAACTGACTTCAGTTGAAATTAGTTGAATCTTGTATAAATTATAAAAAAAGTTAAAATTGCTTAACTTATTTTGAAAACGTTGTCATAACTTATTGATCATATAATTTTTTACAGTGTAGTAACTAGAATGTAGTTAATTTTCACAATTCAGTAGTAATCTGTTCAATTAGTCAAATCAAGTCACCTATGTTTATATAGGCTATAGGCTATAGCGCTTCATATAGTACAGATTGTTTCAAAGTTGCACAGTGATAACAGAAAAATTATTCAATGATTCAAACAGGGTTCATTTCGGCTGTACAGCGCAGCTCTAAAAGAAAACAGTGTCATTGCTGAAGTCAGTTCAGTGTTGATTCAGTTCTGTTGTAAATATCATCAATTATTAAATTAGTTAATTTAATCTATAAAGCAGTTCTTCAGAAAACAGGGATGTCATCGTCCAGCTCAGTTCAGCTCTCATCCAATAGTGTCAATACAGTTCAGTCAGATCAATAATATTGTTGAATATTAGTATTCAGTGGCCTACTTATGCATTAGATAATAGGACTTATTCCTTATATAATATTCACTATTGTAATATCACAACAAGTAATGATTCCATTGTTACTGGTTACTATTGGCAATTATTTGCCATTCAGTTATATGGTAATCTGTGGTTCACAGGTCAACTGGCCATTATTTAATTCCTACTAGTATGTATTTCATTTGTTGTTCAAGTTTTACTAGTGACTCATATTACTAGTACCTAGTTCAGCTCCAGGAGATCATGTCTAGTTTTCCTAGTGCCAACTGAATAGTCACTATTACATTTTTATTAGACCTCTGTTGTGAATTCCCATTGTTCATAAAACTTACTGGTAAGATTTTCTTTAAACAATGAAGTAGCCATTCCAACCAGTTAAATAGGATAAAAAGCAATTAGTGATATAACTAGTGACATAATAAATGTTACTGGTAACAACTGAGATAGATACTAATCTGTCTGTCTCAAATAAGATGTTTGAACCACAGATCCCCACACTAAAATCTAATGAATAATTAACTTGTGAAAAATATACTAGTAACTATTGGATTACTTTATTTAAAATAAAGTACTAACAAATAAATTAGTAATGGACACACAATGGACAAGCCTGTTGTTTAGTCATATTTAAGATGTTATATAGATTTATTGGTTTTTATTTGTATCATGCACATGATGATGAAGCATGTGGCCTCGACCAGCTTTACTGTAAGTTTATATGGGGCTGTCTTTATGACATTATTTGTCAGTTAATTGTCAGTCATGTGGTTCTATACTTTCGACTGAGCATGAATGACATCATCTTTTAAAATAATTAACATTTAACTCTCAACTAACTGTTTTAAAACATGCCATTAAGTGTTGGGGAAATGGAATAAATAATAATGGAATAAAGTTAAGTACAAATATTAAGAATTAAGTTCAGCAGATTTCATATGGATTTCTTGGAAATTGATGAGGCCTAGTCCCTGTGGTCTGTTCTTCCTGGATCAACATATTTTGTTGACAACATTTCTGTCTGAAAATGACCCCTACCCCTAAAATATAACCCTACCAATAACTTATCCCTAAAATGAGTGACTTCTATATTTTAATCTTTAGCACCTTCACTTTCTCTTGTGTTCCGCCATTTCTCACATGTTGCTGGTGCCACTCAGAGTCAAGTAATAATCAGTGAAGAAATCTCTTCCGTGTAGCCTTGGGTTTTGTCTGTAACTGCCTTGTCAATCACACTGCCCGAGGCCTCAAGTCTTACTACTTTGCTACCGGGTTTACACACACACACACACACACACACACACACACACACACACACACACACACACACACACACACACACACACACACACACACACACACACACACACACACACACAATGCGACTTCCTTAACAGTGAGTTATATTGACACACTTCGCGAACAAAGAATTTCAGTCCAGAGCATCAGTCCACCCCCATGTACTGTACACTAGTAACCCTCAATTAATACAAAAGCTGAAATAAAGCTTCATGGAAAATGTAAGCTCAAAAACTGTAGTTTTTGTACATTTCATTTAATTCATGAATAAATAATTTAGCTATACGTTTCCTCTCACAAATGCCTTGTAAATCTGTCATACCTTCCAAACGTCATGAGATATAGATCATTAAAATCTTTGTACCTGATTTGAATAGGTCATTTCTATTTGTAACAGTAAAATTAATACAGTGTGAAATATATATCGCTGGTTAATTGAGTTTTTGGGGTATATTGTATAAACATTTTACCTTGTGTCTGTTCTAGTTTACAATCGTGTACTTATGGTGCAAAGAGCTGTGACAAGTAAGACTTATTTGCGGTGAAACTTATTCAAATACACTTGTCAAATGAAGTTAACGTCATTCTGGCAGGTGCTGTAGTTTTGTAGTTCCGTTCATGTATAGATAAACTATCCAGCAGCTGAGCGTTTTTTTTGGATAGTTTTTTTGTCAATTTATGTGAATTTATGTTTTTACTATTCGTCTTCAAGCACAGATTTTGTAATATTCAGTATTAATACAGACATTATATGCACATGTATGTCTAGTACAACATTCTGGGTACATTTGAGATAATGTTCCATAATCTTTAGTTGGATGATATTTAGACGTGCCTTAATTTCAGAGCCGACTAGCTTTTCATTTTAGTTTGAGGAAATGTGTCAATGTTAGCATTAGTCTATGTCCACAGGACATGCCATTTACATATTATTCAGGTTGATCCTGATGCTCGCACATATCTTCATCTGCCTTCTGAATGTCTTTGATGTTCATCTCAAGTATATGGCAATTCCTCTTGAAGAACTGATAAGAAACATGCGTCTTAAAAATAACATTTCCATGAACTTTGTGAAGAATGCTTAAAAAGGTTATTAGTTCCTTGTCTGAAAGGGATAGCTTACTCACTATTTAATACTATAGGTCTGACTTTACAGCATTTCTAAAAAAAGAATTCCATATGCATTTTTAATTTTAGCAGAAGAACAGAATCTGTGTTATCAAAAGTAATTAAACAGACACGCCTGTGTTTGTTTTCTCTTTAATGCAAATTGCTCAATTCTTATTTACATAGAGCTTTGACGTGCGAGTCAGTGAGGATGAAGAAGGGTTTGAGGCCTAACCTTAAAACCCTTAGGGCTTTAAACAAGCTTTAAAATTATCCAAAAAAATTCAAACTTGTTTTTCCACGTCATTGAGTTTTATGCTGACCTAGTTTACATTTTATTTGTTTAAATGCTGAAGTGTGTTGTTTATATATAACACATACATGCCCTTTGACCCAGACTGGCTGCTTTGTTTTATGGATAGCTTGTGACAGACTCATGTTGAGTTTGGACTTTTGGTCTAAACCCTCTTAGTATCACCTCACCTCTAATGTGTCTGCTGGAGTGTGTGTAGCTGCTCCCTGTTCTCCCTTCATCTGTATGAGACTTCACATGTTACCTCAAGCTGAGACAAGCTACACTGCCACTGTGAAAAGAAGACTAGAGTCATAAAAAAAAAAAAAGGCCAGTGTGGCTTCATACACACCTCAAAGCAGATGCTATGATAAGCTCAGTGAATAAGTTAAGCTCTTACCACTGTTTGGTTTCGCTTGGTTTTCAGTTAGTTGCAGTGGTCATGGACCTGTTGACAGACCTGCAGATCCTGCAGGATCTCTTAGATGCTGCGAGCAAGAGAGGGGTGGCTGTGTACTTGCTGCTGGAGGAGAACGGCTTGCCGCACTTCCTGGACATGAGCAGCAGGCTGCAGATTTCTACGCAGCATCTAAGGGTGAGTGAAAATGATTGACTGATTCACAAACTTTACCCCATACATCAAAACAAGGAAAGTAATAAATTGTACATAAAGTAAAAATGACACCAATTTTAGGTAAAATATTTTTTTGACAAGTAAGCAGATTTCCCCCAAAATGTTCATTACAGTAATGCAAAAAAAAAAAAAAGGATTCTCTTTCTTCTATTCTCATTACCATAATGTGAAAACATGTGTTGTACTGGCTTTAATTCATGATTTTAATTAAAAAAATAATAATTTTATGAAGGTATTGTTTTTAAAATGACTGTAATGGGAATAGTAAAAGTAAAATATCAGGATGCATTATACAAAAGCAAATATATAGGCTTTGTTTTTGATTTTATTAATTATATTATCAATTTTATATTATATTATTTATATTTATTATTATCATTTTATTTTAGATTATTTTATATAATTCGCCATTTTAACTTAACTATTGTGACCATGAAGTTTAAATCAATTAAACAATTATACTGAACAATTCTTGGTAAACTACCAGCTCAGGATTAATCAGTGTCTGTTCTTCAACCCCTTTCAAGTTTTGTTTCTTTTAAAGGGTTAGTTCAGCTAAAAAATTAAAATGCTGCCATTAATTAATTACTCACTCTCATGTCATTCCAAACCCGTAAGACTTTCGTTCATCTTTGGTAAACAAATTAGCTTTTCCTATGTGCGTTCACAAGAGCATCACGACGCATGTGTGTTGTTGACGCGAGAGCAGACGTTGCGTGAATGCACGTTGGAGATTAATATTTTGTAAAAAAAAAAGTGGTGAATTATGTTGTTGTTTTTTGCGCAAAGCACTCGTATCACTTCATAAAATTGAGGTTAAACTACTGGAGTCACATGCATTACTTTAATGATGTCTTTACTACCTTTCTAGGGCTTGAAAGTGGTAGTTGCGTAGCTGTCTATGAAGCTCTCAGATTTAATCAAAAATATCTTCATTTGTGTTCCAAAGATGAACAAAAGTCTTATGGGTTTGGTATGACATGAGGGTGAGTAATAAATGACAGAGTTTTCATTTTTGGGTGAACTAACCCTTTAATATAAGCTATTAGTAAAAGAACATGATCCCTTGCCATTTTATTCTAATCTTAACTCTTTGTGTGATCACACAATCTAAGTTAAAGAGAAGACACATGTTATCAAAACAACAATGTTTAACAATAGGCAGACTTGCCTTATCAGGCTTTCCTGGAAAAGAAGTCAAACATGAACACATGACTTGCCATATCACACATAAATGCACATGTTAACAGATTGTCAGCTGACCTATAAGGGATCTGTGTGAACTTGAAACTCTGGATGGTTCTGCAGCTGTTGCCACAGGGTTCAACTGACTTCCTGGTCTGCTGTACACATGCATAACAGCGCTGTAGAATGAAACCCAGGACTTTCCGCAAGACTGCCCCAAATACCACCGATCTCCTTGAGATACACTGCCAACAAGCCTTATCTATGTGGATTGTTTTTTGTAGGACACTGGGGCTTTTTACACTGAGCAATAGAGTTGGATAATTCCGCATTGTTATTTCCTGAAAGAGGATCTGCAGATTTCAACAGAGCTAAGAAAAAAGGGCAACTTGATCTCATTTAGGAGAGTTGTGGAGCACCCTCATCTCTCACGCTTCTGCTTTTTCCCTGTTCATGCCAGCCTTGTACTCGAGTCCTTTTGTAGCTACAGTATTCCTTTCTTTTGAGTCCTCAGTGTGCAAATGAAAGCACCACACACCTCTGTATACAAGGATTTCTTTTTCATTAACCTCACACTAGCGATATATCTGCCCATGTCAGGTGTGTTGATCTGACACATCTTTTGTGAAAGCCAGATTTCCCACTTTATACCAGGAGTAAAGGCCCATTCACAACAAGAACGATAACTATAACGATAACTATATTGGCGTCCACACCAACGGGCGATTAAATTCTGTTTTGTCAGGACTGAATACAGGCCTTCTTCTGGCTTCGCCTCCGCCCCCTCAGGCCTGAAAATAAAAAAACAACTTAAAGTTGTTTTCGTAAAAATGAAAATAGGGCTGCGCGGTTAATTGAAATAAAACAGTAATCGCCATATGACTTTGTGCGGTTATCAAGGTCTAAATGCTGCTATTTAATTAAATATTTGTGCTGCGTGTTTTGTCGTCTGCTGCTTTAAATGCTCAAGCTCTTAAAAGTCGGTGGATTCTGATTGACTGTTTTTATTGTTTATCAGCTGAAAGTAATTTCAACAATATTGTTCCTCTGTCATTATTTTTATAGCTGTGGTCAGGTGTGGACTTCCCTATTCTCACAGAATTAGAATAATTAGTAAAACTTTAAGTAGGTGTCATCTTTGATGTGCGTGTAACTGCCTGTAAGGGTTCTTCCATAAAATTTTCAGGAGACATTCATAGAGTCAACAAAGTGTCATTTTATTGACTGTAACACTTAAGTACTAACCACACATTGTGCAAAAGGAAAAGAAAGAAAAAACACTGACTAATAAATGGGACATCAGCACATTAGTGAGTTCTGGGTCTCAGATGTTTCTCAGGGATCTCTCACCAGAACTAACCCCGCCACAGAAAACGAAGCCTTCTTAACAAACCAGACCAAACCATTTTTATAATTACAGGGGTCTCACAAAAATTCTGATTCCATTACATCAAACATACAAGGGAAATATATATATATATATATTTATATACACAAACTCAAATGAACATACAAATCACATTTACCATAAAGCAATAATAAAAATACACCAGAAAACTACATTTCCCATAATTCCCAACCGAATTTATAAAGGACACCAGGAAAGGCCGCACCCTTTTAATTCCAAGCCTTTGTTCCATGCTGCAGTCATGGATCCCGGCGGAACCACGGGTAAGGTGTACATACAAACAAATTAAAATAAAACTTCAAACCCATATCTTGGTTGTGGTTTCATTTACTCACTAGCGTGCACTCTAGAAATAAATGGGTATTGGCTTTGTTGCTCTTTGATGTTTAAAATGAGAAAGAGACAACGTTGCTCCTCCAGTTTCAATGTTTGGGTAAATTATATTTAAAGAAACAAAATAATTACATAGTAATTCATAAATAAACAGAAAAAAAACATGAATCCCTTAGATCAAACGAAATATCAATTTCGCATACAAAAATAAAATTGACTGGGAGTTTTATTCAGTCCATATCTGTTTTGACATCCTCTTTTACACACATAATTGAAATGATACAGGCTAGCTCTTGAGCTAAAGTTGACTATATTTTTCTATTAACAAAAACAAACTTGTGAGTCAGTTGTGACTGATTACTGGACAAAAGAGGCATTTCTTAATTCTTCAGACTGAACCTGTGTTAATTTTGACCATAACTTGACTGGAATGCTAAATACAAAGATATTTTTAGCTAAACGTTTCTATCACATGCACCAATGTCACCCGTCGATGTGCTCATTTTGGTTTTTCATTATTGTTTCACTAGATGAACCCCAAATTTAAAAATATGGTCATCCAAGACTGCCAATTTTTCCATTGTGACAAAATAAATGATTTACAGTCCCAGAATTGTGTCTTGGATGGCAAAATCAGGGCAAATTGATGCAGTTTTCACTGTTCACCCTGCTTTAATTATTTTCTCCTTTGCTCTTTCAGAACCTGCGGGTGCGCACTGTGCGGGGCTCTGGCATGCCGCTGGCCTTTGGTCGTCTGCCAGGATCACAGTGCTCAAAATATATGTTGGTAGATGGAGAGAAAGTAATGTTTGGATCCTATAGGTTAGTATGCAGACCAAACAGTACAAATTGCTGTTCTATCCACTGTTCCTTTTTTCACTCTTTCATCATTACATGTGCTTTACTCTTCCCATCTTCATAGCTTTACATGGAGTTCCTCTAGGATGAACCGGAACACAATCACTGTGATGTCAGGACAAGTTGTTGACTTCTTCGACAATGACTTCAGAGAGCTGTATGCAGTGTCTGATAAAGTGGACCTGTACCGTGAGTTTCACATCAGCAAGCCGGCCCTGCCAGTTCCTGTGCTGAAAACTCCAGCAGAACCCAGCAAACTCACAGTTCCCGTATCCACGTCACGCTTCCAGATCTCTGTAGAGGACAACAAACAGGCGAACCTAAAGGTGCCTGCACATAAATACCACAACCCTAAGTACTCTTTAGTTGTTGGCAACAGTCTAGGTGTAACAGGCTCTCTGCAGGATCTTTCTAAGCTAAGGGACTATGTTGACCAGGCCTCTGTGAGTAACATGGAAAAATTAATCTACCCCAATGGGGACAGTGTATGTTCACAGTCCCCTACATCCCCGGATGGGACAGAGGATGGTAAGGGCGATGGGAAGAAGCCCTCTCTGTTTGGTTCTAAAAAGCAGCGCTCTTCCTTCCGGCATTTTTTGAAAGGCAGAGCAAACAACCAGAGTCCAGATACTCTCTCTAAAACAACCCATCAAAACACAGATACAAAACAGATCAATCATAAAGACACCAAGCTTTCCAACAGTTCCAAGGAAGCATCTTGGTTGGCCAATCATATAAAGGAGCAAGATGATACATCCAAAAACATTTCTCCCGTTACTCGCAAGATCTCAGAGACTGAAAGCACTGATGAAATTGAGGACACCTTTGAGATCATAAATCCACCACAAGTGAAGTTTAAGCTCAAAAAGAGCAAAATGGGTCCAAGGAGTGTTTCTCTTCAGACTATTGCCACAGATGGCGAGGATGGTATGTATCCTGACTACAGTCATGTACAGTATTTTCAAATGGTTCAATATTTCATGAAGGGCTGCATGATTTGGGAAAAAATCCAATTGTGATTTTTTTCTGATTAAAATTGTGATTGCTGTTTTAAAATGCAGTTAAAAAAATTCCAGGTTTGTAGTGCTTTTTTTGTAGGGCTGCACAATTTGGCCAAAACTTGGTGATTTATATATCAGTATGACAATAAAAATAATACTAATAATACAACTAATAAATTACTATTGTAATATTTCACTGTAAAATTATAAAATGCATATTTAAGAAAAATAATAATTAATAATAATTATTTTATTCTTCAAGCGTTAAACCATTTGATTATATTTTGGGGGGAGTCCTTAAAGCTGGTCTTTTGAAGATTTTTGAGTATGCATGTTAAAGCAACCCAAACTCTGACAGATGCTGAGATGGAGTTCGTGTGGAGCAACATTTACTGTGAACTAATGAGCTGCTCATTTGTAAGAACAAAGTGCTGCCCCTCACTCTGAAACACGCAGCGCAAATATTTAATTAGATAGCAGCCTTTACAACTTGATAACCGCACAAAGCCATTTGGCGATTACGGTTTTATTTCAATTAACTGCGCACCCCTATTTAAATTTTTACGAAAACAACTTTAACTTATTTTTTCTTTTCAGGCCTGAGGGGGCGGAGGCGTAGCCAGAAGAAGGCCTGTATTCAGTCCTGAGATATCCCTGTGAGAGAAATCAACAAGAACGTGTGCTTACAGATCAGGACCTTGATTATTGCTGTATATGCTGTAAAAAAGAGGACAGCTTCTTCATTATGATGATTTTGGACAAGATGTGGATAGTGATTCTCCCTGCAATAATATTGATTCAGATGTTAGCTTAAACTTTAAGTATTGGTGCTGTATTTTTAGAGGGTTGAGAAGTTGTTTGAACAGCTTCCAAAATGCTGCTGACACTACAGAAAAAATGACTGAAATATATTGCGCAGCCTGGGATCATGTGATCTCCTGCCGGTTACAGAGCTCATAGTTGGACTGCAGAGAGCTTTGAATTTAAGTGTCTAAAAATGTAGAATGTTACAATTTTCCTGTTTGGCAGATCTCTGCCCTACATATTATCCCTGTCCCAATACGTTCTACTTGCCCGATCCTTGAGCCTGTGGCTCCCTCAGAGTCATAGAGGAAGGAGGGAAAAGGTCCGTAGCAAAGCTGACAGATGCCCAATGAAAACATGCCTGATCAGCTACCATTAAAGGTGTGGTGACATTTACTGTTGCTCAGAGAACTTTCGCAGGCAAAATCCAGTCATTTAAATAGGAATCTGTATGTTTGGGAGTTTTGCATGAGGGAGAAAAACTAATGTGACCGCGTTCTGTGTGAAAGTATGCCGCTTGGACAGAATAGATGGGACACAACTGATTTTTCCATCATGAGTGCCAATAAATGCGGCCTTAACTAAATTGATTCTTTGTATTTCTTTTTCATTTAACTTCAAAAGATGTAATCTCGCACTGTGGAAAACTCCCTGGAAGAAAACACAATAAGCCTAATTTTCCAAATGTGAGTTTAATCAGATTTAATTTAAAAGAGAGGCTAATAGCTACTTTTGCACAAATTATGAGTTTTATTATTGTTTATGTGAATAGTCTAACCACATTACAGGTCTATAAATTTAGAAAATGACACCTATTGAAAAAACAGTATTATCATTCGTCATCCTTTGATTAACGGAGCAACTATTTGGCCACCAGACAGTTAATTATATAAAAACTAACTGCTTGATGTGTTGAATATTTGTTGCCTTTTTTTTCATTTTCTTTTTTTTTTTTTCATTTATTTGCAAAGTGTTTGGTTTGAGTCCTTTGGAGTGATATAGATAGTGAATTCTAGTAAATTGGTCCTCTTTTATACCAGCTTAAAAAGTGACCCAAGTCACCTAAATTCAAAACTGCTGATATTCTACAGGTTGGGTTGACGGACAATACAATTTTGCGTTGAATTGTGGCTTTATAAGACAATATAAAACCGCAAAAACAGAACTGTGTCAGTGTGCGTATGGTGACATCCACATTACTTGAGCTGACATTGTCAGAGATACGTCAATAGATCGGTTAGACTAACATGGGTGTGACATTTGCCTTAGCTTGTTTGTTAAAGGAACACGCCGACTTTTTGGGACTTTAGCTTATTCACCGTATCCCCCAGAGTTAGATAAGTCCATACATACCTTTTTCATCTCCGTGCGTGCTGTAACTCTGTCTGACGCACCCACCGCTAGCCTAGCTTAGCACAAAGACTGGATGTAAATGGCTCCAGCTAGCATTTTAATCCCAATAAGTGACAAAATAACGCAAACATTTTCCTATTTGCATGTTGTGATTTGTATAGTCACAGAGTGTACAAATAACAAGGTCGATATGAGACACAGCCATCTTTTAACCGTATAAATATTGGGAACTATATTCTCAGAAGGCGAAGCACTGCTACTTGGGCGGAGTGATTACCGCAGCACCTGAGACACACCGTGGTGAGGACCAGAGAGTTCGTTCAGAGTTGGAGTAATAGAGTCAGCAATTACTAGATAGTAAAAGCATATTTTACAATCATGGGTGTTCGCTGTATTGTAAAGAGCTGCGACAATAAACAGGGGAGACCAGGTAATACCATGTTTGTGACAACACAATACTAACATTACAGGGGATACATGGAGACCGGGAACAACTGCAATAGTAGTGACCACCCTATTCATATAATAGTGTCACTAACGTTACATTAGATCTGGCTAATAATGGCACTGTTACAGTAGGCTAGTCATCTAAAAACATAACGAAACAGTTACCGCAGCCGCAGATCCACTTTGTCCTGTCTGTGCTATCGATGGGATGGCCATATCCTTCAGCACACGTTTCATGGTCCGTGTGGCAAATTCCATTTTTTTCAAAATAGTCGTCCTCAGTGAAATGTACTGAGCAAACATGATGGTCCTTGATGATCTCTTCAGGTGTGTTTGGATCTAACGTTATATCCAGAGCAAGTACTAGCCATTGATTCATCAGGTCAGCGTTTTTGGTTGGAATTCTATGAAACTTCATGGTATTACCTGGTCTCCCGTTTATTGTCGCAGCTCTTTACAATACAGCGAACACCCATGATTGTAAACTATGCTTTTACTATCTAGTAATTGCTGGCTCAATTACTCCAACTCTGAACAAACTCTCTGCTCTTCACCACGGTGTGTCTCAAATATTGGGAGAATAGGAGAATATAGTTCCCAATATTTATATGGTTAAAAGATGGCTGTGTCTCATATGACCTTGTTATTTGTACACTCTGACTGCCTATACAAATCACAACATGTAAATAGGAAAATGTTTGCGTTATTTTGTCACTTATTGGGATTAGTATGCTAGCTGGAGCCATTTACATCCAGTCTTTGGGCTAAACTAGGCTAGCGGTGGGTGCATCAGATAGAGTTACAGCACGCATGGAGATGAAAAAGGTATGTATGGACTTATCTAACTCTGGGGGATACATAGCCTAGAAATCTAGACGCACCCTCGCGGCAGCAAAAATTATTTTGCAGCCAGTGTGGTCTAGCAACTCTCTGTTGGCTTTCGAAGTGGAAAAACCAAACTCTGGTCAGGCCAATCACATCGTGTAGCTACAGTATAGAGTTGGTGGGCGGGCTTAACACAACGACTGCAGAGTTGTGACGGTTCTGCGCCGTGATTTCCGTAGGTGATTTCCCTGCTACTTGAAAACAAACAAGATGCTGCTGGCGAACAGCGGTCTTTTGATTCGGCTTTGGCCGCGACTCTGGAGGACTTGGAGTTAAGAGAACGTCACTTAAGTCATTCTTAAAAAAGGAAGATGTGTTCGGAGTTTTGACGACCGGATACGGCAAAATTTAATATAGCAACTAGCTCCGCTGGTGGGAAAACGCATGGGACTCACTCAGCCACAGCCGTTCGTTGCTCTGGTTGGTTGTAGCGCTATCCTATTGCGTGCTGAGGGATATTGAAAGACAACCGTTTATCCTGCCCCTCGGATTGAGGTATGCCAATTGTGAGTTCCCAGAACTAACATCTTGATGTAGGTCTGGCTTGCCAGGCAAGGGTATACGGTGAATAAGCTAAAGTCCCAAAAAGTCGGTGTGTTCCTTTAAGAGTATTTTGATGTGCGCTGCTAAAATGTTTAATGGATAACAAGTATAAAACTTTTCTTCTTCCTTCCTTCCTTCCTTTTTTTTTTTTTTTTGAAGACTCTTCAGTCTACAAAGGTTATCAAATAGTAGTGCTCAACTGATGAGTTGGCACTTTTTGTAAACTATGACAAGTTATGAGTAAATTGCTAATCTTGCAAGGGTTAGAGAGGTCTGAAAAGATGGCTAGCGATTGACACAGATATGAAGGAAATGATACACAGGAAGAGGGGCGTGTTCTCTTGTAGACCACAAGTGCAATATAGATGTTGCAAAGGAAGCAATGTGTAACTTAGCCCATTACAGTTCAGATATCTTTCTTAAGTATACTAGATTTCAAATGTTTTAGAAACGGTCTCTCATGTTCTATCTAAATATACACATGTATGTGTAGCCATACTGTAGTCTATATATCGTTTGTACAGAGTTCAATTCAATGCACATTTTTGTATAGCCTTTTTACAATAAATAACGTTTCAAATCAGCTTTAAAGAAAAAGTCAAGGGGGAAAACAGCGTGGGAATGAATATGTAGGCTATATACAGTAAATGAGTGTGTATTGTGAAAATCGATCGCCATTTTTCATATACGAAAGCATCACACACACACTCTCTCTCTCTCTCTCTCTCTCTCTCTCTCTCTCTCTCTCTCTCTCTCTCTCTCTCTCTCTCTCTCTCTCTCTCTCTCTCTCTCTCTCTCTCTCTCTCTCTCTCTCTACAGGAATTGATCAACAGTGCCCTCTGCTGGACAAACGAGGCTTGTTCGGTAAAGACCTTTAATTAGATCAGCCTAGTGCAGTCATTATATTTTAATAACATGGTTGTAATGTATTCACTAGTTTATTTATTAGTTATCTGTAATTACATAAGCGTATAATCAAATAATGATATATGCATTAAATAAATCATTTATTATGTACAGAATATGAACAATTTCAATCTAATAAACATTAATGCTACCGGCAAAGCAATATTTACAAGATGGACATGTTGTTAAGACTATAATTATAGTATTATAAAGGTGTTTTAGTCAAATGGAAAATACACAGGAAAAAATAGCCAAAATAGTGATTGAAAACGTAATTACCCTATTAAATGTAGCTTAATTTAAATGTTTTTCATTGAAAAATTTAAACATGACTAGAAAAAAAATCCTACAGTTAACAGGTGACACAACAAACTTTGTCAAGTTCAGAGTTATGGCTTTTTTTTTTTTTTTTTTTACAATATTTTACCAATAAAAGAAACTGCGATCTTTCCAAGATTTCTCACAAGCTTTAAATAAATAGGAAAATATTTTTTGACGTAACACCTGAGCACAACACTGCTGTGTGAGTGAACCCTGAGGCTGCACACGTAGCAGCGGTGACCTCTGTGTGGTGAGAGGGAGGCCTGACAATCAGCACCCTTAGAACCTCATTCATCTTTTCCGTTAGTCCAGTGTACCCATGAACGTCCCATTGGCTACTGTTGGTACTTCAGTCTATGTGCAACTGTTTAGAAAGATCAGATCTCCTCAGTTCACTAATCTGTCAGCTGTTTAATCGCGTTGCTCGGTGTGGCCGATGATCTTCTTCTTGCGTGCAGATACCAGGTCATAGAAAGGGTCTTTTGTGATACAAGCTCTAAGAACAAGAGAGGAAACGGTTAGACTCAGAGACACTTTTCTTTCTCAGTTCCTCTTTCAAAGCTAATCTAAATGCTTTTTTAATTATTTTATTGTAACTGTATGTCTAAGTGTGTGCAAATTTCTAAACATACTTAACTTCCTCTTTCCCATGACTTACAACAACTCATTGCTGCACTCATAAAAAGACATTTGTTCACACAAATCTTTTACAAGGACTGACAGCTGATAAAATGTGATCCACTTGTTTAGACAGTGTTGTAAATATCTTCTGTCTACATCATATTCGTCTCTCATATTCCTTCCTCCTATCTTAATTTACTAATTAATTTAATAATTTACTATTATTATTTTATATAAAGTACTTGAATTACCACTGTGTATGAAATATGCTATATAAATACACTTACGTTTGCTACATCGGTTGCTATAATAATGATGTAAGTATTAGTGTAGTCGAAAAACAGGACAAAAAATGGACATTTTGCCTCTGCTCTTTTCAAAGAGGTCTAAAACCATTGACTCGTTCACTCATTCAATATTCACTGAATGTCACATAGTGTGTTATACGAGGAAAGAGACACCACTTAAGAAAGTATTGCATTTGGTTTGATGTTACATATGAGTACTGTCCTAAATGATGAGAAAATACTTGGAATCCTACTTAAAAATATAAACAGGCATTTTCCAGCAAAACTGGATTTCAAACCTCAAGTCGATGTGGTTTGAATTGCATTTGTAAACACTGGATATCTTGTTTTTCTTTTACTGTGCAAACTAGGGTTGTGTGCCATTCAGAAATTGTTCATGTTTATAGTATCTGCTTATTTTTAATTGTTCACTTTATA